AGAGAGGCAAGTAGGCTGTGTGAGAGAGGGAGTGTGAGGCATGTCTGAAGTTTCAACAATGGGCACCTAACCCAGCTGTGTGTGTGTGTGTTCACCTCACCCAGCCCGGTGTATTCCCGTATGTTCACCTAACCCAGCTGTGTGTGTGTGTGTGTGTGTGTGTGTGTGTGTGTGTGTGTGTGTGTGTGAGAGAGAGAGAGAGAGAGAGAGAGAGAGAGAGAGAGAGAGATTGAAATTTGCAAACTTGAACACTTTCAAGCAGGCTGTGTGTGAGAGAGGAGAATGAGGCATGTTGAAAGTTTTAACCCACGAGTACCCAGCTACCCTGCAGACACCTGCCCGTTAACGTGGTGCTGTAGAAAGTTTCAACCTGCTGAAGGAAAAAGGCTGGCGACACCAGGCAAAACCCATCCCACAATGGTTGGCTCAGACGTACTACTGGTGGTTCCACAACATGAGGGGTTTGGTTGTCAAGAGTGTGCATTTGAAAGGAAATGCTGACCTGTAAACAGGCAACAGGAAGGAGTGGGGGGAAAGGAGGAGGAAGAAAAAGGGAGGCCAGAAAACGAAGAAGTGGCGAAAGCGGAGATAGAGGAGACATGGGAGTGAATGGAGAAAGGACAAAGAAGAAGATAAGAAAATAGATGGGTTGGAGATGGAGCAAACAGCAGAGGAGGACGACAAAACTGGAGAAGAAGAAAATTAAGCCTGTGGGTGAAGAGGAGGGAAAAACTCTAAAGCATCAAAAAAAAAAAAAAAAGGAAATGAGGACCATAGGTAGGTTCGTGATTCCTATGGAGCTTCCCGCTTCTAACAACTGTTTTGCTTTATCAAGCTATTAATCAGATGCAATCATACTCGCTTTCATTCACACTTTTCATGCATGCAAACAGTAGCGCAGCAAACTGGCGACGTGCGCCCACTCAAAACTCAGAGATATGGAAACCCAGATACGAGTTCACTTTCAATGACTATGGCGACTCAGCGCCCAAACAACTCACTGTTCGCATACACCGGATCACCCTGGATATCCCACACGCGATACTCTGCACTCACACACACACACACTACACACTAACTCTAGCTATGGCAGCTATGGCCGCAACTACCCTATCGTTATGCTACGCTCCTCTCTCGCCCACTTCGGCTGCGGGCTCACTGCAGGCCTCCTTGCACAAGTCTCTGTGGCAGCGCTTCCGCATGGCTCATGCAGGAATGAATGAATGACTGGGCGCTGCCTCTTGATTTATACTTCTGAAGCTCGTAGGTCTGCCCTTTTCCATCGGCCCATGGTGCTCACAGTCCCTCGTGGTACTTGCTGGACCGGACTGGGACTGACTGGACCTTACCGCTGACTGAATGGGGACTCACTGCTATCCTACCGCTATCGTACTGCGAAAGTGCTGCAGTTAGTCCACCACTTGCCCACTTGCCCACTTGCTCGACCTTCTAGAAGGACCACAGCTAAGACTTCTGGAACCCGCGAAGACTTCTATTCTACATATCTACAGATCAAACCCCTGCTACCTACGGACCCTACGACAGTCTACTAGCTGTTACAAGTACACAGGTCGTGGGTTCAAGCCTTGGGGTCGACACAGATACTGTACACCGGTAGGGTAAGGGCTAGGGATCGAGCCCTGGGGTCTGCATCTACTACTGCAAAAGGTGAAAACCGTTTCACTCCCGCCGTCTTAAATTCGAGGTCCTCCGAGAATATTTTAGTCCAAGGCAGGACCTTTACCCTTCTTATCACGCTCATAGGCTCTGACTATGTCGGGAGCTGTTTCTAGAAGTTCTGTTCTAGTAAACCAGTGGTCGTCCTCAGGTTCCTGATAGGCAAATCGGACCTTATACTGTTTCTGTGGACGACCTCTACCTCCTGTCCTAAACACATCTTCATCTATAATGTCGTCAATGTCATATCTGCCATCCATATCCGGAGGGATCATGGATCTTCTTGAAGGGAACTGTTGACTTGTGACACACGGCAACAACTTTGAAGCATGAAACACCGGGTAGGCGTGGAGGTGTGCTGGAATTTCTATAGTGTAGGACGGTCCATCCTCTTCGCCCTTGACTTCTAAAACCGGCCACGGTCCTCTGTATGCAGGCAGTAACTTCTGCGAGATGTTCTCCTCAGGCGCAAACTCTTTAGACTTGACCCAGACCAGGTCGCCTACCTGAAACTGCGATGGGCGGCGGTGCTTATTAGCCTGTTCTATCATGCGGTGCTGGGCCTTCTTGAGGTTTTCAACAACAGTTGCTAGTTCTCTCTCGTGCTGTGTCGTGAACTCCCTGGTCCCGGGCGGTAGCCGGTGAATCTGATCCCGGGTAAGTCCCTCAAACAGTCTGCGGGGTCTAAAGGACTTGTGCAACTCGTTGGGAGTGCGACAGGTAGACAAATGTACGCTGTTATTGTCTGCGCTGGCTACCTTGGGCAACATCTCGTCCCAATTGACTTGATCCGGTCTAATATACATGCGCAGAACTTGCTGCAGGATTTTGTTCATTTGTTCTGTCTGACCGTTAGTCTCTGGGTGACGGCCAGATGACATCAACAACTTTGATCCATAGACTCTCATTAGTTCCTGCCAGTTCTGACTCGTGAATCTGGTGTCTCTATCACTAACAATGGACAAAGGAACCCCGTGATCGCTAATCCAATGATCAAAAAACTTCTGAATAACTAATTTCGTACGTGCCTCTGCAGGCAAAGGAACAAAAACTGCATACTTACTGAATCTATCAACTATGACCATGACTTGGCTCTTGTCGTGCCTACTCTTGACACCGGCATCCATAAAGTCAA